GCATACTGCATATGTGTGGTTTTGTTTTAACCTATGCTGCACTCAGATAGAGCCTATGCTTCCTGGACCACAATTTGCAAAAGCAATAAATAAATAAATAATTGTGATTTAATGTAGCAAGCATCAAAATGGAGGCATGAGAAAAATGCTAGAGAGAAGCAGAGAACGGAACAATTTTAACCGATACATTAGAATAATCTTTACAATCTCTTTGAATTCATAATTACAGATTGAATTGATAATTATAAATGAGCAGAAGTTTTCATCAGAGATTGAAGGGCTTCTATAAAGAAGTAATGATGTTACATTTTTGTGACTTTCTTGTTTTTTTTTTAATTCTTAATAGCAAACAACTGACTAGTTTTGTAAATTATTACATATTGTTTTATTATTATTGACATCACTTTAAACTTTGGATCCTTGTCACCCTCGTGTGATGGCCCAGGTAACCAGAATGTCATTGATCTCCTACTTCACAGAGTGCTCACTCTCAGTCATCTGTGATGGACGTCTGTCTTCTTTCTCTCCGTCACTTTGCAACCATTCCTTAGAGTCTAAACCATCTCTGTGCTGAAAATCCCCACAATTGAGTGCATCTCCAGGCTTATCCATAACTATAGCATGTTCGTCACAAGAACCAGTGCACAGTCACATCAGTGCTCTCTGCAAAGCTTCACCAATGTCCTTACAAGATCTTCCCAAGGTCTCCTTGTCTGTGCCTGGGCTGCTTCCCACTCATTGTACCATACTATACCACTGCAGCCACCCTCTACTCCAAGCCTGCTTTCTCTTTCACAAGGCCAAGCAGGCAGGAAGCACAATTGGACAACACCAGGGTAAAGTGAAATCTACAAGCAGTTTGGCACCTACTTTGTGCTGAATCTAACCACCTAGCCTCCAGAGAGTTTTGATTGCTCCTTTGTCCTGCCTTTCAGATCTCACTTAACAGCCTCTGTAGTATACCATGCAGGGAAGGGCATTCAGGGAAATCTGGTTCCAACTTACTCAAGCAGGAATTTCACTAAACCACTACAGTTGTTAGTATGCAAGAAAATTCTTTGTCTATGTCTTCACAACTACATTCTCATTATTGAAAGTGAGGAAGAACACTGCCTAAAAATTAATTGAAGGTCTCTGTTACCAGGTTAGTTGTTTTGTTAAATCCTATTGTTGGTATTTACTGTCTACCAAAAATTAGAGTACTTGCTGAACCATTTTTACCTTCCAATTACAAATCAGTATACTATCATAACTATTTCAAGAATTGCTTTAAGGGTTGAAATATATAAGGAATGTAAAATACTAGTTTATATTTCATAGCGAGTATTCAAATTGTTATCTATTAGAATCCCTTGTTCTATATTTAGTGAGTTCCATCCATATAATAATGAAAGCTAAAGCAAATGCCAAAAAAACTGGAAAGAGAACTACTAAGGGAAGAAAGGGCTGGGCAAGTAATTCATAAGTTGAATAATTAGTCCCCAGACACTAGTTTCACTATAATTATAAAGTTCCTGGTGCCTATTTTAAAACATTAATCCTCGGGAAATACCTAGGTGGATATTTCAAAGGAGATAGAGGAAATGGCATGCAATGCATTGAAATATAGCTAAACTTTCCCAAATGTTTCACATGCCTTTGGCCATCTCTATTATTTTAAATATTGCTTCCAGCTATAAACATTAAGTGAAGATAATAAGTCTCTCAGACCATAAGAAAATCACCACCAGAATTTGAACTGTTTCAGGAAAAAGGTGGCATTCGCATTGGAATCCACTGGCGACTCCTGAAAGCTAGGGCAGGTTTGAAGTGGCAGGTAGTCTTTGGCTAATTGTTCCTCACATGTGAGTTGCAACTGTCACAGGTGTTTGTTCAGACTATATCAAACTGTGGAGTGGAATAGTGTCACAAAAGCAATGACACCACATGTAAAGAGCTGACTTAGTGACATTGCAGAGAGCCCAGTTCAACCTCAAATTGTTTCTGACAAATTCAGGAATTCTTCAGGGAATATCTCATGTTGACTGCCAGATTCAGTTTTTCTAATTCCAAACAGCCTTCTACTACTCCACTCCAGACCTGTGGCTTTGCAACACCAGGCCACATTTTCTGTTCTGAATCTGTACTATGACACATCCGGTACATCCCTATTCCTTTCTTACTGTTAGAAGCCAGCACTTAGGAAAAAAAGGAAATAACATCTTTTAATCCTTCTGATGCTAGCAACTGGTTTACTGGCCAGCATATCACAAGTTGGTCTGGATTAGGCACTGTGGTGATGAGTTACTCCTGATGCTGCTGGTGGTGACAGATCTCGGCTACTGACATCATGTCTCTATTGGGAGGGAAATGTCCTATATTGCTATGTTCATTATAATGCAAAACATAGGTGCTTCTTTATGTTCTCAAGCCCATAAAGGCAGGATAACCAGTCAACTGGAACCTGAGTATGGAGACACTGAGGGAAGACTGAACAGTATAGTATGACCTTTCTCAGAAACCCTCACATTTTCAGTTCAATCTACTAATTTCTAATAACATTTCCCTAAAGCTTTGACTAATTAAATTTTAAAAATTGGTAAAGATAGAATTGATGTAATGTCAGGAGTCAGAGAAATGGTTTTCCAAGAATATTCACTATGTTTAGAAAGATTTAAAGCTACCCCAAAATAATTGCATAGATTAAGGGCCAAGGAGCTCAAATATATCTCGTGGCTTAAAGAGTACTGTTGTTACCTCTTTCTTTCTCCAACACCCTGAGAAAGCAGAGTGAAGGAAGATAGAGAAGTATGGGAAGCAACTTGCAACACAACATACCAATCTGCCTGATCCATTCTCCATTATCTTTTGTCTACTCTAAAGTTTTCTGTTTGTGCCTTCCTTTAAGCTGAGTCTTCTCCTTGAGTCCTCATCACATTCTTACGCAGGTTTGCACTGCTTATCTTTTAAATACGACAGGATACATTTGATTTTCCAACACATAACTTACTTCTTTTACCTGACACCATTATTTTTCTCATACTTCTTTTCATAGGATATCCCAGATATTGTCAAAGGATCACAGATGCTCTTAAAGGAATGTAAGAAATATATTTACCTCAAAATTCCCTCTAATGTCTTCCAATTTCCAATCAGGTGACCAGAAGACCGAGTTTTTCATGTCTGAACATCACTATGCCTCCTACTACCTGTCTGTTTTCTTCTCTCAGAAGACACTTTAAAGAATTAAAAATATCATATTTTTATTTTTATGTATTCATAGAGTTCACATAAACCCATCAATATCAGGAAAACATTTCATTTGCAAACTCTAGTTTGTAAATACTTTTGTATTTTCCCATGTGTCCAAGGCAAATATCCATGTGACAAATTATGTTAATATCTGAAACATATGTTTAAGATCTATTTATTTTATTTATTGATTTTATTGGAAAAGGAGATCAAATTTGTGGAGAGAAGCAAGCACAGAAAGAAAGATCAGATCTTCCATCCACTGGCTCACTCTTGAAAAGGCACAATAGCCTGAGCTATCAATCTGAAGCCAGGAGCCAGGATTCCCATCCAGGTCTGCCACCTAGGTACAGGGTCCCAAAGCTTTGGGGTATTCTCTTTTTTCCCAAGCCATAGCATGGAACTGGATGGGAAGTGGCATCCTGATGCTTGCAAGGTAAGGATTTAGCCACTGAGCCATTGTGCTGGGCCCTAAAGCACATTTTCCTTGTTGGTTGGACTCAAAAGCTTCTTTCAGTTAAAAAATAAAAATCACCTAATTCAGTTCACTTATCATTGCGCTCAATTATAATAGTCTCATTTATTTTAAATTGTTCATATAATTGTTCTTAGTAATCTCTATGTAAAAGCTGTATTGGTGCATTTTAGTCTGCATATGTATTTGAAAATAAAAGCTTTCCTTTAAACAAAATACTAAGGCAGATCATCCATCTGAAAGCGCTGAGAACTGTGCTTTACTCAGTAGTTCTGATAAATCTGCTATAAAACTTAGGATGAATCATCTGTCATTTTTATAGATTCATTTTTTTCTAAAAAGAAAATCTTCTAATTGTTTTCCTTCCTGTATTTTATGATTACCTAATTTTATTTTGACATTTGTCAGCAAATTCTGATGCAAAGCCATAACTTAAGTAACTCTTGAAAAATTTAAATTAGGTAAAAGTAAATACAAATTCCCTTTTTGCAAATAGGCCTTCTCTGATCATACCAAATAACATTCCCTTTTTAAAAAATGTGCAATTTCATTATTCTTTGGTATATTTTCAGTTACCTGTGTGAAAGATATCTTACTACTTTAGTTCCTTGATTACTTCTCACTTTTAGTCTTTCCCACCTTTCACAATGAGAGACCTTTAAGGAGTGACTCAAACAATGGCCCAATGGCCTCACAAGACTGATGAATCCCTCTGGCCTTGAGCCCCCTTAAAGACCTGCTTCCCACTAGGTCTTTAGGACTCATTTGTGAAGGCTTTCTGCCCTTTAGGCTTAAATTGTGCTCTCCTCCATTCAGTTGTACTTCAAGAGTGTACCTGAGGGCTCTACTCACCAATCCCCTGAGGCATCTATGTGCCGCCCCCACTGAGTCCACTTAGAGCTGCATCTGTCCGGCACTCCAAATACCCTTCCTTTGCTCTGCTCTCTTTCTTTTTCTGCACTCTCTCTTCACTCTGCTTTCCCACCTCCTTTGTTGTTTCTCTCTCTCTCTCTCTCTCTCTCTCTCTCTCACTCTCTCGCTTTCTCTCTCTTTCCCCTCTCTGGTCCTTACTTAGTTCCAACTTTGGCTCCCTAACTTCTCTTGAAATGACTATCAGGGTCGCTCCAGAGCCCCAAAAATTAGATCAGATAGACAGAAAGAGACCAATAAGGAAAGCTTAGAACAGACAAGATAAAGTCAACTTGGACTCCCATATACCTTACTAGTTAGGACACAAATATAAGTTACTCCTTGCTAAGGTATTGAAGATTTCTCCGAACACCCCTTGTAAAACTGTTCTGCTCCTTAATCATTAACATATGGCTTTTTAGAGTTACAAGCCTGTTTGGACTATCCTAAAGTTCACAAAGTTCAGTAATAATCATGCTTGAATATTATAAGCTGCTAAATATAAATATGAAAAAAAGACAAGAGACAACTGAATAGTACCCTATAACCATCTTAAGGTTTATAGCAATTGGTTATGTAAAAGCTAAAATGGAGATATCAATGAAGTAGTTACAGGATTGGTTAAGAACTTGTATTTTCTAACATATTGGTCACCCAGTACTACTCAATTAACTTCATAATGTTATACATTTCCATGTTTCTTCCTGTTGTTGAATCTGTGTTGTGGCCATTCTTTAGAGGGGATGAAATTTTGCCAGCTCTACTTTCAGATCCAGGATGGTCTCCCAATGAAACTGTTGAATTTATCTAGACAATAAGATTTCTGGGTGCATTGTGGGTGCATGCCCACAATGATGGAATTATGACTGGTTATGAGCAGTACTACAGTAATAATATGGAGGAAATCAATATGGGGGGAGGGCATGGAGAGGAGCTGGGGGAATCCCAGAGACTATGGAACTGTGTCATAAAATGAAATAATAATAGCAATAATAATAATAAAAGAAAATTTGTGACAGTAAAGTTTTTAAATACAATTTTAGAGGAAAAATAGAGTAATAGGTAGTAAGTAAAGGGTAAAGACACAACTCATTTAAAGGACTAGCCTGGGTGTGATTAGTGCCTTTTTTGCATTCTCATAAGCTGGAAGCTCAGAAGGTTGAGATCACCACCTGCTTCACGTTCTTTCACCCCTTAGCAAGATTTCACTGCTTTCTTGCTACTCTTTTGGTAAGACTGGAAAACCAGGGAAACTGGGATTTACGTTCCAATTTAAAACTCACCTAACTTCTTGTTAGTTGAAACTATCGTGATGAAACCAGAAATTCAAAGAGTAGGGGGCAATTCAGTCTGTTTTTCAAAGGTACTTTTGATTTTTTTTGTCAGTCTGCCAGGTAACTAGCAATGGCTCCATAGCTAAATCCTCACCTTGCACATGCCAGGATCCCACAGGGGCACTAGTTCAAGTCCTGCAAGCTCCAATTTGCCATCAGCTCTTTCTTGTGGCCTGGGAAAGCAGTAGAGGATGGCCCAAAGCCTTGGGACCCTGCATGCGTGTGGGAGACCAGATTGGAATCTTGATTCCTGACTTTGTCCATTTTAACCATTTGGAAAACGGTCATTTGGATCTGTCCAGCTCTGTCCATTCTGACCATTTCAAAAATGAATTAGTGGATGGAAATTCTTTCTCTGTGTCTCTCCTTTCTGTAAATTTGCTTTTCCAATAAAAATAGATTTTAAAAATAAAGATTATTTTCAGCAAGGAAAATGGAACAGAACATGGTGTTAATTGAAATAAGTTAGGCATACAACAAAAAATGCTGCATGTTCTCCCTTACAGGTGAAAAATAAATAATCTCTGAAAATAGAATGTTGATTACAAAGAAACTAGGAGGACTAGGAGGGAAAAGCAATTTGTATTAAAAATAAAGAGAGCAGAAAATGATTCATTAATTGTGACAACATAGCAGTATCAATTATTAATAGGAGAATTATGACATGGACTAACTGAGAACTCCCCCTTTTTGTAAATTTAAAAATATTTTGAAATGAAGTATCAAAAATACTTGAACATTTGAATTAGATTAAATGATAACTTCATATAAGTACATTTACTCATTTTACTTTTGATTAAAACCATTGATTAGATTTGTGTGTGTGTGTTCACTAGTAAGTTAATGTCATTTGCTCCAATTCATTTGAGTGTGAATGAATGCAGTGGTACCAGCACAAGGGGTGAGACACAACCAACAGAGCACTTCCAAGCAACTGTGACCTTGGGAAACACTAGCCCAAGTGCCCAGTCTTTGGAAACATAGATGTTTAGTTCCTACAACTTCATTTTCGATTCCTTCTGTCTATCTCCTGATCTTTAGCACTTTCCTACTCTTAATTGGCTCCAAAGGCTGTTTTTTCCCTCACCATAAGAACTTCAAATGTATTGTCCTGTTCTTATCTGATGATTCTGCTTTGTGGCTAAATTTCTCAGGTGCAAAGTGTGTCTTGCTCCATTGCAATTCTATTGGAAAGGAGCACATTCTTACTCATAATCTGGCTGCTCTCATTCAGGGACTTGAAGATTGTACACAATCTGTAAAATAAAAGATAATCTAATACATAAATTCCTCTGTGTGTGCACATCTCAAATGCTTTCCTTCTTGAAGCTTTTCATCAGCAAACTTGCTATGAAAAGAATATCTCCAACCTGACTCCATCCCCACATCTCCATGCCTCAGATGCTTTGTTGTTGTTTTTAAACATTTATTTTTATTGGAAAGGAAGACTTACAGAGAGGAAAGAGAGAAAGATCTACCAAATGCTGGTTCACTCCCCAAGTAGCTGCAATGGCCAGAGCTGAACCAATCCAAAGCCAAGAGCCAAGAACTTCTGGGTCTCCCATGGAGGAGCATGTTCCCAAGGCCTTGCTTTTCCAGATCAGAAGCAGGGAACAGGCAGGGAAGTATAGCAGCTGGGATTTGAACCAGTGCCTATATGGGATTCTGGTGGATGTCAAGCAAGGACTTTAGCCACTATGCTACAATATCAGGGTTTTTCTATCTTTCTTTTCTTTCTTTCTCTTCTTTCTTTTCTTTCTTTCTTTCTTTCTTTCTTTCTTTCTTTCTTTCTTTCTTTCTTTCTTTCTTTCTTCCTTCCTTCCTTCCTTCTTTTTTTTCCTTTCTTTCTTTCTTTTTTTAATTAGAAACAATAGATTTTTGGCACACCATTGATACAGTTTAAAGAAATCAACCCCATTTCTCTCACTCTCATCACCCCAATATACCTCCAACGCCCAGGCCAGGCATAATTTTCACACACTTTATATTCACATATCTTATGTACCACTAATCATAATATTGAGGAAGCAGCAAGTGATTGCATCATAATTCCAATACAATACAACCATAGGCGAATACTGACAATCATATCCCAGAGTGACCATTTCATTCCAACAGTTTTTGTGTGTTTTGCATTAGTTGCCACATATCAGAAAAATATATATCTTTATGAGGCTGGCTTACTTTGCTAAGCTTAATGATTTCCACTTGCATCTAATTTTTGTTGGAAAATACAGAGTTGCAGGCTTTTTTATGGCTGAGTACTATTCCCGCGTATGTGTGCATATCACACATATATAGTGTGTGTGATACACTAGTACACATATATAGCGTGTCTATGTATGCATTTCTTGATATGGTCATACACTGATGTACATCTGGGCCCTAGCAAATGTGAATTGAGCTTCAATAAATGTGTATACAAATAACTCTCGAATAATGACTTTGTTTCATTTGGATAAATCACAGGGAGTGAGGTGGCTGAGTCATATGATAGATTTAGTTTCAGAACTCTGAGAAAACCTCAGACTATCTGTCTTTCCCCTCACATACTCAGAAGAGTTTATGTTTTTCTGATTTTTATAAAAACACCATTCTAACTGAGGTATAATGAAAGCTTGTTGTGCTTTTTATTTGCATTTCCCTGATTTCTAGTGAACCTAAACATTTTTAACAATGTATTTTCCTCTGTCTTTTATTCTTAGAAAAGTGTTCATTTTCTTAGCTGGAGTTTTGTGTCCTTATAGCTGATTTTTTTTTAGCTTTTTATGCAACTTGAATATTAATTTTCTGTCAATTTCATAATTTGCAAATATTTTTGGCCCATCAGTTGGCTGTCTTTTCACTTTGTGGGTGGATTCCACTGATGTACAGAAGCTTCTCCAATTGATGCAGTCCCGTTTGTTCCTTTTGTGCTTTAATAACGGTGATTGCAGGGTGTTTTCCAGGAAAAATCCGCCTGTACCTTTGTCTTGCAGAGTTCCCCTGACGTTTTCCTCCAGTAACTTGATAGCATCACTCAGAGATTAGATCCTTAATCCAGTTTGAGTTGATTTCTTGTATAAGATTTGGCACTTTTTGTATAAGGTCGGGCGTTTGCTTCACATTTCTGTTTATTAGTTCCAATTTAATTTTCCCAGCAGCATGCATTGAAGATGCTGTCCTTTCTGCCTGGATTGGTTCTCATTTACTTGTCAAAACTTAGTAGATGCGTATATTTATTTCTGGGATTCATATTCTGTTCCATTGATTCGCATGTCTACTTTTGTGCCAGTCCCAGATGCCTTGATAACAATTGTCCTGTAGTATATTTTAAAGGCTGGTATTGTGATTCCTCCAGTTTTGCTTTTGTTGTTTGAAATTGCAGTAGCTATTTGAAATCTCATTTATTTTGTATGAATTTTAACACTTTTTACCCTAGATTTGGGAAGAATGGCATACGTATTTTGATTGGAATCACCTTAAATCTGTACTTTTGGTAATACAGAAATTTTCATGATATTAAATCTATCAATCTAATTATGTGGAGAATTCTTTTCAGTTTTTTTTTTTCTGTCTTTACTACTTTCTTCAACGTTTTTCATTGTAGAGCATGTCCTTGGTTAAACTTATCCCAAGTTACCTAAATTTTTCTGCAGCTTTGAAAAGGATGGATAGTCTGAAATTGCAGGATGCACTGTTATGCAGGTATCAATGAGTCTTTTTAGTTCATTGCACAGATTAGCTCTGTCATTTCTTTGTTGATTTTCTGTCTAACTGATTTGTCCATTTATGAAAATGGGATGTCGATTTCCCCCATAGTTATTGTACTGGAGTATTTTCTCCCTCTAAAGAATTGATTCCTTCCTCATGATGTGATTCCATTCCTCATCTCTTATATGTTGTGTTAGTCTATTTTGTCTGATATTAGAAAGGCTATGTTTGCTCATTATCGTTTGTTTTGAGGTAGAATATCTTTTGACTTTCAGGCTGCGCATCCTTGCTGGTGAAGTGTGTTTTCTGTAGGTAGCAGACAGATGGTTTCTGTGTTTTAATCCATTCAGCCAGTTTGCATTTTGATGGGAGAGTTTACTGCATTCACATTCAGAATTATCATTGACTTTGTGCTACTGTTGTCCATAGACAGTCCCATTTTTTTCTCTG